ATGAACTAAACCCTTTGTACAAACTAGTGAAGAAGATACTTAAGTCCTAAGCATTGTCTAAAACTGTCAGCAGGTAAAACTAGGGAGAAATAGATGCTCTTCAGTGGTGGTGGTAGATTAAATGGAGGTGATGTGTCACTCTAGGAACCTGGAAAGCATCACTGTGCATTTAATGGTGAGCTCTTACAGCATCAGTCAAATCAATGTAAGGGCTTGGGCAAAGGCTCTGTACCCATCCTGCACTCAGATGTTTGCCTCTGGGTGTTTGCTCTGTGGGGCTGGATGGCACACGGCTGCTCCACCTGCAAGAGCCAAACGCTCAGGGTTGGCACCATGTGCAATTTTCTGTAGACAACTAGTGCCTCTATCCACAGCTCATGGCAATGCTACATTCTCTATCTGCCCTCAGGGCTGCTTGAAGATTTTCTCCAAAGGCTCTGGTCCTTCTCTTCATCCACAAAGACAAAACTCCTTTGTTAAAAGAAAGCTGAAACTCTCACGGTGCTGCTGGAATCCACATCTGTCGATGGTGGCATTTCCAGTCCAGAACAAATCTGCAAATGTCACAAGCCAAGGGAGACTACAGTGTGTGTGTGGGTAAGCCTACATGAGACCATGTTTGCTGAGTGTGAATAAGTCCACATGAATTACAGAGCTGTGGTGGATGGCACCCACGGTGTCTAGACAGGTATTGCTCTGTCTGGGAGTACTTCAGTGCTGACTTACCAACTGTCCTTACTCAAGGGTCAGTCTTGGGTATAGGTGAGCATCCCTGTGGCAGGACTGTGTGCTCCAAGGGATGGTGACATTGCTGCCACCTTTCTGACTTTGCCCATAGTGAGTTAATTAATTGCTTTTTGGCTTTATTTTAAATGTCCCTGAAGAAAGCAGTGCCATTCGTTTCAGGTCAGATGAAGCTTTTTGTTTGATTTTCTTTGTCTTTGCTGAAAACTAATTTTCACTATTATCTGCCTCTTTCCTTCTTCAACAGGGTCAGAAAGATTGCTCTCCTGCTCATGGCTCCTCTTTTACTCTCTCTTATGTGGCCAAATCTGATTTGCACTTCAGCCCTCTGGGACCAAGTGATGTGTTTGGACAAAAGATACAGAGGATTTGGGTTGTGCCATGGGTGCATTTCCAAATGTAGATCTCTGAGCATCTATTCTGTACCTTGTTTACCTGTCTCTGATGGGCCTCCTGCTTTTGATATGTTTGAAAAGACTTGTTAGAGTTTTCATGCTATTTGTTTGTTGCTTCTATAGATCATTTTAGCATGCCGCCCTTATACTCTTGCATTTAACTACCAGGATATACCTCTCTGTCTCTTTTCCTCATTTGGAGTCAACTTGGATTTTTCAGTTCCAGGCAGCTCCTTTACTCCAACATTAAATCATAAAGGCAATTATATTTTTTATTTTTAGGCCTGAGTTTGGGTCTGAGTCTTTTTTTGTAGGTGATTTACATTTACTCAAAGACTCTAATAAGGTATCTATAAAAAACTGGCAGTTTTCCAACTGTTTTGTCAGTGATGCCATTTCCAGAGCAGCCCTAACTAGCAAAGCTATCGCAGCCACAGAAATCCCTCCTCAGTCCCCTCCTGCTCTGACACTTTTCCTTCTGATTTTTTTTAAAGGTTGATTCACTTCCCTCCTTCTGTCCTCGTTTACCTTCTACTTTCTCTGACTGAAAGGCTCTATAAGCTTTGTTTTCAAGTCATGCATTCTTATTCAGGACCTTTGAGAAGGCACAACTGAATGCTTAAATTTGAAAGAACCAATTTTATTTTTTTTCAAGTTTATTACTACCACCAGTATTTCAAATTGCTTACTTCTGCCAGCTAAATATCTGTATTAGGCATTTGAGAGTATAGCAAAAATGTACATTTGAAAAAAAAAAAAGCTGTTGGAAGTCTTCAAAGAGGCTCCTGGCTCTAAATAAAATAGATTTTATATTAATCTAAACACCTGGTAAATGGAATAAGTATCCTGCAGACAACAAACTGCATGCATTGCCTGTCTAAATCCTATAAAATGGCTTAATCTGGTGCATATTGTGGGCATTCTGTGGCCTCACCATGCGATTTAGCCTGTGCTTCAGGAGACTTGCTTAATAAAAGCATAGCTGGTGGGGGAGATGGTTGCTCTAGTACTTTTTGGACTGGATAATTTCTCATTTACCATCTGAAAGTGGTGTGTTGCCCCGACAGTGGGAGAACTGGGGGTGATGGAGCGGAAAGAGCATCCCTGGTCAGGCTTGTACGGTGCTGCCAGCTCCTGTCTGACGCTTGGGACCGTCCCCAGCCCCGGTGGAGGTGCGGGAAGCCAATCGCTGCTGAGGGCCCGGCAGGACAGGACATTTCTCCATCAATATTTCATCGTCTCCACTCTCGCTGACCTCCCAAGCTGCTGCCTTGGCTAAGTCTCAGCAATTTCACTGCTGAGCGGGAATAGCACTGATGGAGTCACTGCAAGCCTGCAGAGAGCGGCTGCAGGGTGGACCAGCTTTGCAGCCTCTGTGTTGGAGGTGATGCAGTATCCTTGCTTGTATTCCCTTCTTCCTGGAGCTGGTTGGACCTTTCCTTTCCCTGAGCTCCCTGGGAGCCCGACACCGAGCTTCCCTCGGGGACTTGCTCCTCTGGTCCATAGGGAAGGTGTGAGGGGCTGTGTTTTCCCTCCCATCACCAGATCCTACACCTTTCCCTTACCAAAAGCACACCACATCCTTCCTGCGCGGAACAACTAATGCAAGACATGAATGGAGGGCATCTTCAGGTTTTGTGTGGGAGGGCACTGTTGTTCACTGAGCTAGAGTGTAAATCCTGGGTCTTCACAGAAGCAGCGTTTTTGGCAGCATTACAAAATGATCACAGAGTATATTGTGTCTTTATCAGCCTCCTGATGCTCATTCCAGTGATCATACCTGGATGGACTGCCTGCCTGCGTTGACAGATGACCTTATCTTAAATTGCTTTCATTCCGGGGTGTCCTGTTTCAAAATTTTTTGTGTGTGTGCAAATTTTTAGGTGGTCCAATTAAGTTGGAAGAATAAATCTTGCTCATTAGCAATAAAAGCTAAACAGCTTAGTCATGTAGAATGAATCCTTGGTAGGTAACAGAGCTGATGTGATCTTCCATCAACCTGCTCATGTACAAATAGTCATACTTTCTGGGAGTATCTGGGGGATTTAAAGCCCTAAAAAAGTTCATTTAGTGAAGCTGGACATTAATACTTCCATGTCTTAACATTTCTTCCATTTCTTAATTTTAGGGGTTTTTTCCCCTCTTGCTCTGAGACTTTATTGTGAGGTTGGTGCCTCCACAGAGCAGAGTGCTGCAGATTGAGCCTTTCTCCAACTTTAAGCTACATTTGACCTATTATTTTTGCCTTCTTGTTCTCCCTCTGCCAGTTGTGCTTAGTGGGGTGGTAATCTCCCACAGGACCTTAAAATAGACATCACGTCTTCTGTGTTAGACTTGATGTGATGTCTCTTTCAAAGCAGTGGGAACAGTGATGGAAGTATGTGGTGATGAAACAAAAACCCCAGAAATAATCAGCATCTAGAAGGAAAAGTGCCTCATCTGGAGGTGCTATGGGGTGGTGAGGAGTTGGGGTGTCCAACTTGGGAAAAGAGGAATATTTCATACTCTGGGCAGGGCATATTGTGCGTGGCTGGGTGGTGTGTGCCAAGGCATGGCCCTGGATGGGGTCCTGCTTGTCCTGGCTGGTTTCGGTCTTACTTCCCACTGACAAACCATTACTGGCCAGTCCTTCAAAACCCATATTTAAACTCAGTGAAGTCCGTAAGTATGGAGCCAGGTAGAATTTTCTCCCCAAACTTCTAATTGCTCTAAAAAAATGAAAGGCCAAGAAGTAAGCAGTTTCAGAGTGATTGCCTCTGCTGAAGTATGCCAGAATGTCCAACTTTGACTTTGCCCTATGCAGCCTATGAAGAACTTCGGGCAAAAGAATGATTAATGTTCCTTAATTAAGCCATATTCACTTAAATAGCACATTCTGCAATTCAATTTGTCTCTTGGGTTTCTTGTTTTGTGCAGCAGTTTCTCTTCTGGTTTTTTTTTTAATGATTTTATGACCCAGAAAATAAGAGATTCCATTTTACAGCTGACTCTGATCTGTCCTGCTGGTGCTTATATTCCCTCCGCAGGGAAATTTCTTTGAACAGCTGAAATCTCTGTTCTTGCTCAAATTAATAGGGTCAGGTCTGAAGAGATGGCAAGCATGCTTTCCCTTTTCTGCCCAGTTTGTGAGCATGTTAATTTTTTGGTCATTTATGGCCTAACCTGTGCTAGCAGCTATTTTTGGCAGGAACCGATAACATTTCAGCCCTTGCACAAGACTTCTGCTATTAATTGCATTGTGTCAGGGGACTATTCCTAAAATGCAACTAGTCAGAAAAATAGCAGTTGTTTCTGTCTTTCTCCCAGCAAATTCTACTGTACTACACACTATTGTGATTTTTGTTCTTCTGACAGGGCTATCCGATTCCTCTCTGTGGAATCAGATAGCCTACTGCTACTGCAGTAATTTTAAGTAAAACTACTCCACACAGTAGTTTTAAGTCTAAATATAATCTCCTTCCCACGCAGGAAACTTGCTTTTTAAAAGAAAAAAAATAAAAAAGTAAATAATTTGTTTCAGAAGTGCAGAACTGTGAAACTTGGTTTAAGAGATATTATGAATGCTAGAGAAATTGGCTGGGCTTGCTGCACAGCTGTTGTAGGCTATTTCTTTTTTATTCCCTTGTGTTGTATCCAAGTTTTTGGCTTTCTTCTGTGAGGGAGATGGGAAATGCTGGAACTGTTTTGTGTTATCTTTATTTTTCTAGTTTTTACCAGTTAATCCAAAGCCAAACTGGTTGATACTCTTCCCCAGAGGTATTGTCCATCATGTGGGGTAGAACATTTCCCTGGTGCTAAGCGTTTCAGCCTTTCAAGTTGAACAACATAGTAAAAATGTTTCTCTCTCTCTTTCAATTCTAGATTTTCAGAAGAGCTGACAAAAATGGTAAGTCTGTACATTCATATTTCACATTTTTCCATTGAACTTTTGTCAGTATTACCATTTTTTTGTGATAGTAATGTCTAATTGTTTAAATGTCCTTTGGTTTACTGGGTCTGATGCTGATATGGTTTAAGCCTCGGAAACAGTTTTGTTGTTTCTTTGGCTGAGATATATTTTTAGAGCAGATGTGATACTAGTGTGCAAGTTGGCACGGCAAGATCTTGGGGCAATTTTACAAAAAAAAGTCCATTAAAAAAAATCACAGTTAAGTCATGAGTGAAGATCCAGCTCCTGGTAATCCTGGAATAGTTTTGCAAAACAGACCTAATCTGTGAATATTAGTCTGGTTCCTGAAGGACTTGGACACAATATGAAGGATGTGTGTTTTCAGTCTGTGCCTGTAGAAAGCTGAACAACTTCTCTGAAGCCCAGTCTCGTCCTTAGATAGGGAATAACATGGAGAGGTCTTCTTTAAATGACTAGGGATCCTGAAAGGAGAGAGTTGTTCTGCTGTGAGATAATGTAATTATGGGAAAAAGTAGCAATGGGGTTCGATCCCAGGATCTCTGCAAAGCCATCTAATTTTAGCTCCCTGCTAAAATCCCAAGACCTAGTGTCTATTGTTTTCCTGTTGTACAAGAAGAAAATTAAATATACATTGAACCAGTCAGTGTTTGCAGAGGGACACGTGGGAGGGTTGTGCAGAGGAGCACAGGGGAATGTTTGGTTTGTTCCTGCCAGATTTAAAAGGGAGATCACTGATTTCTGCAAGATCTTGTAGGTATGATCATTGCCCCTGCGTAAAGCAGAGAAGGATGCTGTGAGCTGGCTGGCATAAAAGCAGTAAATGCCCAATTAACATGGACATTTGGCTATAACAACTGACATGGTAATAAGGCATTGAAATTTGTTACTCAGATAAACTGAATTTATCTCATCTGGGGGGTTGGTGTGGGGGGAAAGCACTGCGAGTGCTGCTTTCTGAGAAAAATGAATTTGTGCTCTTAAGAGCTGTCATACTTCACAGCCTCCTGAGCACTTAATTGTTGCATAATTGGAGACGTGGAGGTTTTGCCTGATGAAATATGCAATACTGCCTCTGAGAGATGCTGCCTGCTTGCTTTCTGCTGGCTGGCATGCCTGCCCCCATGGAGCTGAGTGCCAGGGTTGCCAGCCTGTAATGAAGTCTTACCTGCCACTTGCTCTCCATCAGAAGTCTGGTGTTATATGATACCGTGCTAAAATCTGTGCTTAGTTATTCCCATCCTAGTTTGAAGTAGAAAATGCCACTCTAAACTTCGACCTGTGAAACTGTTTCTTGCTAAGCGCATGTTTAACCTCCCTCCTGCCAGAGCCTCCTTCCAATTTCCGTTACAGCCTCAGTGTAGGGCAGATGAGACGAAAAGCAGTGATTTTTCTTTTCAATAGCAAATATTCCTCTGCTGAACAAAGCTTGAAAGCATGCTCTTTGATGTACTAGTCTTGATGTAGTTATTTCCAGTGACTGCTTCTCCAGCTCTGCCAACTGACACTGCACTTTTCTTTTAGTCTCAATTAAATTTATAACAGCTGCGATGGGGCTGAAGAATTGGAACTCTAAGTACAAAATCTTGTCTTGGCTGTTGTGCTTTTCTAGGGTGGGTGAGTAGAGCACCTTTGCTATTCCTTGCTTACCATGGCATGATGGAAGGACCTGCTCTCTGCCAGGGGCAGATAGACATGTCTTTCCAACACAGCCAAGAGGACAAAGCTGTCATTTTGATGGGTTTACTACTTCACAAGGTTATGGGGGTTAAATTTTAATGCAGCTCTTGCCACAGGAACCTCTTGGTGTATTTGGTAGGTGCTGGTGGCAAGTTATGAGTCTGTTTTGTGGTGTGGGTGATAACTTGGGGAAACGATGAGCTCTAGTGATGAGTCTCTGAGAAGAAAGGCTACCTTTGGAAGGCTGGTGACTTTTGTGATGATTTCCCTTGCTGCTGTTGAAACCCATCCAAAGTTTTTGTTTTTGCAACCTCATACTCTGTTACTAACAACAGACAAACACTCCTTCGGTGTTTTAGCATGAATGACAGGTTTTCACATCTGCCCCTCACCTTGGGGAAAAATCTGCCTGGGTCCTCCACGGTCTTCTCCTTGGATGTTCCTCCTTTGGTAAGGCTCAAGCAAGTGATCCACACAGATAACAGGTGGGATCATTCCACTGCACGTGGACAGGGAGACAGCAAGAGGCTCAGGTACACTGTGACACTTAAAAGTATTTTCTTGTCCTGCTTGTTCGATCAGAGGGAATATGGATGTGAGCAAAGAAGTGGAGTTTAATAACCCAGAGCTGACCTTGGGGTCTCCACCAGCCACGCTGGGCACCCAAACATCTCTCAATGGGGCTGCTGTCCTGCCTGGTAGACATACCTTCCTGGGGCGCAGATACCCCATAATATAATGCCCATGGGGAGCATTGCTCGTGGAAGAACGGCCTCTTTGGCCATGCTCTGAGGACATGAAAAGGTGTTCACCCCTTTGCAGTTGTTCCCCTGGATGCTGTTTTTCTGAACATCTTTATTCCATGTTAACCATTTAAAACACCAATTAAAACTCAAACAGGATGCTTGTATGGATCAGAAGAACCAGACCTACTCTTGTTTAGGTCACAAAATGTTGAAATGAATGTGGATTGCCGGTGACACATCTGCCACCAGGTAGCTGTTCACACATTGGGTGTAATGGTGATGGGCTGATGTGTCAGGACCCATGATCAGCTTGGGGTAGTATGAACAGACACCAGCAGGACAAGCCCTACCCTGATGTTGGGTGGTTTGCTGATAAAAAATGGTGTGGAGCAGGAACTTGAGCTGGTAAGCGTGAGAGCTGTCACTGCCAGGGAACAGCAGGTCTGAGCGCTGGGCTTGCAGGGGGGTGAGGAGACCAAAGGCTCTGAGTGTAGGCATAAGAGGTGCACCTGAGCCCCAGCAAGGCTGCTACCTCCAATTGCTCTTCTGAAATTTGTCCTGCCTCTTCCTAACCCTGAAAGGGCACTGCAGGGGGGGACAGCTGGCTCTGTCAATAAAGGCCAAATGTTGTCTGAAAAAAGTGGTATCTCCATCTGCTTCCACTCTGGTTGCTTGCAATGCAGGTGACCTACAGTTACATTGTTTGGACAACAAACTGTGGTGCTCTCCATGGGACTAACACTGCCAGGCAAACAGGATGCTGCCTTTTTCTTTTTATGACCTGGATGACAGGTTGTCACAAAGCAGTCTGGATTTAAGTGGCAGCTCTGTCCCTGTGTTGGTTCCTGCAAGGTGAGGTGGCCAAGCACGTGTCCATCTCAGCACGGCTGCTTTCCAGTCCCACCGAGCAGGGTTGTTTCTGTAATCTTGGGGCTGTCCTCTTGAAGGACTGTATGTCCTGCAATGCCTTTCTCCGCATTTTTCCAGATGCTGATTTTCTTTTTTTCTTGAGAGAACATCTGCCAGTTGTGGTGGCCAGCTCCACCAGCCAGTTGTATTCGCTTAACTCCTGATAGCAGAGTTTGCCACTCTTTGTAATTAGCTCAGTACATTCCTCCACAGCCCTTTGGGGTCACGGCTTCCCACAGCTGCCCCTCCAGCACCCTGCGGCTCACAGGAGACGCGCAGGAATATTTCCCTTGGTACAGCCTCCCCACAAACCGTGGCTCAGAGGCCTCCAGAGCCAGAAGTAATATCTTTGTATTTAATATCCCTAGAGATCTCTCTTTCACTATTTTCTCTTTGACATCCTGGCCTTTAATTTATTGATTTGTTGAAATTCAGTCTTTTCATTGCTGTACCTGGTACAGCTCCAAGGAACAGTGGAAGCATCAGCCTGCTGCTTGCCGGTCTCACTGCAGGCAGCCTGTGTGCCATACAGAGCCCTCCACTGAAAAATGAAAACCTTACACTTTTAGATGTTTGCCAGAATCCCGGGAAGGGGCCCAGAGCCCTGGATGGGCTGCTGAAAACACAAGGTCAAAATATTTTACCCTGTTAACAGGCTTCTGCTGTCTTCACACCTGCAGAGGTTCTTACCTGGCAGGGATTTTGCTCTTTTTAATTAACCAGCTGAGCCAGATCATTATCCCATGCTGTGTGCTGGTGGCATACTAGGGAGAGAGCTCCCAGGGCAGGGAGTGCTGGCAGCTTTACCCAAAACTGGCAACTCTCGCTTTCCTCAGTGATGCTAAAGCAGGTCCTGTGCAGGAACCCTACAGAAGTGGTGGGGAGGAGAAATCTGAAATAAAATCAGATGTCAGGAACTGAAGTTAATAGAACATCTCATTCAACTTTTGCTGTCCAGGGATCAGATAATTAAAGGGTGGCCTAAAAGGCAAAGGGGAGACTGTAAGCTTAAGGAATTGTGTCATTTAATGTGCAGCTTCCTACAGTCATAGAGGTCAAAAATTTGGAAATTTTTCACCATCTTGATTTTATGTTATTTTGTCTCCAGCCTGGTAAAAATGGCACGTATTGTGTTAAAGCAGTGTGGCTCATTCAGACACAGTAACTATGGAGCCTGATTGTGTGAATTCAAGAGCTTCTCCCTCTTCCCCTCCCCTCCCAAGTTCCTCGGCATAAATTGTTAATTCATGTAAAATTGGATGTTCTTGGTGCAAGATGCTAAAACACATTATTGTTCCTGCCGTGTTCAGGTACTTGTATCAAGGTGATTTGATTCAGTGCCTGTGTGTACTAAGAGACTGCAAATGAGGCAGCTTTTGCTCATTAAAAGATCTCTTGGTCTCCTGCCCCAGAGAAGTGAGATTCTGTCTCTAATGTGAGTTAAGCCCCCAGCCTTTCTTCCATCAATAATACCAAGCAGTGGGACTTACAGCTATCTGTATGATAAACTCAGCAAACGGTCTGCATAGCACACCTTGAAGTGATGAACACATTGGAGACATCTGGATAAACTGGCAAATGGTCTGAAAAAGGGGAGAAGGGCTGGGGCATAACCTTCTGGCAGTCAATAATTCATCTAGCTCT